CCTGGAGAAAAATAATAGCACTAGGACTTAGACTTATATCGCCCCATAGTGCTTTACAGCATTCTCTAAGCGGTTTACAGAGTGAGCATATTGCCCCCAACAATCTGGGTCCCAATTTTGCAATCTCAGAAGGAAGGAAGAAAGGCTAACTCAACCTTGAGCTGTTCGGAATTGAACTCCTGGCAGTGGGCAGAGTCAGTCTGCAATACCGCATTCTAAGCACTGAGCCACCATTGTTCCATTAATAAGCCAAGGAGGATACTATGCACTGTTAAAGGGAGTAATGTATATTGAAAAACAGGACGTTTTCAACATTTCTCAGACATTGAATAATCAGAATAATTAAAAGAATCCTGACTTTAATTAACATTTCAACATTTTCTGCAACTTTAGAGAATAAAATCAAAGGCATTTGTTTCCCAATCAAACTGACTGAGAATGATCTTTAAAAAGCCCAGCACTGAACTGAAATAGAACTGCCAATATATTATTTCCCATATCCATAAGCATGTGTTATATCTATTAAGTTGGCTTTTTTCTAACTCACAGTTGACTCAAGCATTTAAATTTTCCAATAAAAGCTAATGCTAAACCTCAGCATATTAGATTCCAGAGCTCTCTTTTGAGTAGCAAATATAGCATAGCTCTCCAAGGGTTTCTCAGTCTTCAAGGCAAGACCTTGGGATTTCCAAAGAGATTCCTTCAAATAAATGGCTGAAATTGCACAACACATTGAAAATGAAATGAATTGGGTAATGTGATCAACGGTGCTCTTGAACAATCTAGCCATTGCTATAGCACAGGAGTCAGCAACCCGCAGCTCTGGAGCCGCATGTGGCTCTTTCATCCCTCTGCTGCACCTTCCTGTTGCTGGTTGGCTCCACAATTGATAGGGCTTTCAGGTAGAGGAAAAAGGATGCCATGCTAGGAGGAGACTCTATGTGGAGGAACCGGACTTCCAGTCGGCTCCAGAATTGAACGGGGGCTTCCGGTTATGACCTCTGTGGCTCTTTGAGTGTTTAAGGTTGCCGACCCCTGCTATAGCATGTTGTGTAAACAGACTATCCCATTAACCCACAGCATAGCTTGTCTATTTCAGCAAAGCATTTAATACGAACACAGCTACTCTGTTGACTTAAGGTTTAGAGTCTGGTGCATTGTATGAACACATCAGTGGTGGGTTTACATTTTTTTTACTACCGGTTCTGTGAGTGTAGCTTGGTGGGTGTGGCAGGCTGTAAAATCTCCATTCCCAATCCACTCCAGGGGAAGGATACTGCAAAATCCCCATTTCCTCCCGATCAGCTGGGACTCAGGAGGCAGAGAATCAGCTGGGACTTGACGGGCGGGGCCAGTCAGAATTTTTACTACCAGTTCTCTGAACTACGCAAAATTTCTGCTACCGGTTCTCCAGAACTGTGGGTGGGCACATGCGCATGCATGGGGGGAGCATGGGGGGGGTCACGCGCACATGCACTGGGGGGCAGGGCAGCACGGGCTGGGGGGCATTTCATTATGAGTGTGGGCACGCATGCTTTCGGCACCCAAGGGAAAACAAGTTAGCCATCACTGCCCTAGGAGGTTTGTGGTAATATGATCTTCCCTTCTTCTTCTATCGTATTTTTCATTGTGGAATAGACCAACAGACTTGTCTCCCTGCCACATAAGGTATTATTTAGTTTCATGCTTTCTTTGATTCTTAAAAACAGAGGAAAAAAAAGCTCCTATAGAAGCAAGGCACTTTTGAATTTCCAAAGGATATTTTCCACCAGACTGCTTTTATCCCTCTCTATTCTTCTGTCTCTCTGCCTTTTAACTCTTCTAAGGATTTTCTTTTTGTACTTTCTTAGCTCTGGAAATGTATCCCTCAAGTGGCACAGACTTTGCTATCCAAAGACCTGGCTTTCCCCCCACCAGGTGGTAGATTAGGAAACGTGCGACAATGTGGGAATCTCATTAATTTGTTTAGTATGTTTTCTACACCCCCAATTCCAATTTATCTCCTTCTATTCCTTGTATTTCTATGGGCTGATATTTTCTCTTGTATGTCACAGGGAGTGACTATGAGTTGGGCGTCCTATCAATTTGATTTATAAATAAATAAATAAGTCCCCTGCCCATCAGAGTTAAGAATGGCTTTCCGTTGGAAATTTGATAATTAAAAAGAGGCAGCCTCAATTAAATTCCTCATTAGACCGTAGTTATTTTCAGTAAGGGCATCGTGAACGATGGAAGGGCTGGGGAAAAAAAAAATAGGACAATCACAGCTCTTTAAAATGCAGACAATGTAAAGTTCATCCCTCAAGGCAATTGCTACAGGAGAAAATAGCTGGGCATATAGAATTTCAGACCTTAATCCCATTATTTATTGTTTGGAGCACTGAGCTGGAGCCAAATTGCACAGGAGTTAAATTTTTCTCTTATTTTTCCTCTGCTCGTTGGACCTCAGGTCTCTTCCTTGTGTCATGAAACTAGTGACAGTCCTATAATCTAATGTAAAGACATTTATTTCCCATCCATCCCAACCCAAGCAAAACATTTGAATATAAGCAGAAATACAATTTTGACAAGTGCAGGCTAAGGATTCCTTTCTGTACGTTCCCTTGGGAACAAAGCCTGTTAAATTTAGCAGATCTAACTCTTTCAAATGAAAAGCATCAGCTGTTTTATTGCAATCCTATAGATGTTTATGGGAAAATAAGACCCCCATTCGGGAGACCTTTCACCTAGGTCAACATTGACAGAATTAGAAAAGATGGCTAACATCTCACAATGTCAGAATTCATGACTGGCTATTGACTCTTAAATATGATTCCAAATCAATGGTGAAATCCTACCAGTTCGCACCGGTTCGGGTGAACCAGTAGTGATAAAAGCCCTACCGGTTCCTCTAAACCAGTATTTCCAACGATCAGTTGTGCTGCACAATTTAAAATCACTAGAAGGCAGGAAATCTGCTTTCTAGTGAATCTTAATCACGCTGCACAGCTGTTTCCCCCCCTCGTTGTTATACTTACCTTCCCAAGCCTCCTTTTTCTGTGCATTTGGTGCGTGCAATGCATGCGCATGCAGCGTGTGTTTTGCATGCACTGTGCATGCACTGTGCATGCACATTCATGCAGGGTGCATTTGGCACACACTGCACATGCGCAGCCAGTGAACTGGTGGCAAACCGGTTCAGATTTCACCAGTGTTCCAAACCAATAAAATAAATGATTCAGTTACCCAGTGTCGAGTGTGGGACTGTTGCACAAATTTACACAGGGGATAGGACAGATTCATGGAAGATTAGGATGCTAATGGCTAATATTATTGAAGGCATATTGTTATTCCAATAGCATCCACTGCGGAGAAGAGTCAGAATAGGTAAGATGGCAGGCAGAGCATCATCCTACAACCTCCACCCCTTTTGAATGCGTACAGAATTGCAAGCACGAGAAATCAGGAACGAAGGCTGTACAAATGCGTGCCAGTTTATTTCATACTAGCTCACTACAAGAATCTGAATTACTAACGGTCAAGGCAAATTGGTGGTAGATAAGAGTCAATGGAATTAAAGGCTGCACTTAGATCTCTTGTGGGACTCCAAACTAATGACGTGCTTGACTCCTCCCTTGGGCTCAACCTGGTCTTTTACTCCATGATTGTTCCATCTATCTTCAGCTGCCACTGTGCTGATTTTAACAATTCCCCCATCCATAAACCCTTCTGGAGAATTAGGCTTAGAATAACTTTATTGTCACTTTGAATGTACACTGATCGGCATACATTAAAATGAAATGTTGTTGCACAGAGCTCTCAAAGGGTCTCCACTTCCAATATACACTACATAAACATAAATAAATAATTACATAGATACATACATACATATTTATGCATAATTATGCATATACCCACATAATATTATATGACACGGAGAAACAACAGTTTAATTCAGATGTATACATGTATATGGCAAGAAAAATGAATCATGCAAGTTTACCAGATGGATGGCATAGGGAGCAAAGCTGTTACAGAATCTGGTAGTCCTGCTAGAAATACTTTGAAACCTCCTCCCAGAGGGGAGCAACAGAAACAGACTGTGAAGTGGTTGTGTGGGGTCTCCAACAATGCTTATGAGCGGTGTCCTGAATAACAGGAAGCGTGCTTCCTATAATCTTAACTTTCTATCTGAGGCACTGCAGCCACCAAACCAAACAGTTCAGGGGTGGGTTCTACTTACCTTTACTACCGGTTTGCAACGGGAGCGCGCACGCGCTTCTGCGCATGTGCAGAAGCTTCTGCTCATGAGCAGATCATCAATTATGACGTCCAGGTGGGTGGGCGGAGCCTCCCACCGCTTTTACTACCAGTTCTAAAGAACCGGACAGAACCGGGAGCAACCCACCATTGAAACAGTGATGCAATTTGTTAAAACGCTCTCAATCATGCTTCTGTAAAAAGTGGCCAGGACAGAAGGAGAAAGATGCACTTCCCAAATCATAAATTATGTGCCTGAAAGAACAAACAGCTAGAGCAAAAGAGCAGTTACCTTCCTAATATGACTGATTATCATGTAGATCTACCCAGCTGATCACCGTCTACCCAGCTATTTAGCCTGCTTATCATGTAGATGGGGGAAATAAAAAAAAACTTTCTGCATTTGTTCACTGCTTCTCATTGTTGAATTTTAGGAAATAAAAGTGGCTTTCAAAACCTATTTCAAAAGAACGTCCAGAGAACATAGTGTCTCCATACAGCCACTCTGTTTTCCCATCCTTCAAAAGGAATTCACCATCGCCACAAGGAGAAAAAAAAACAAATAGTAGAAGTGGTTCCCATAAACCATGGTTTGATACTCAGTTTGTCCTGATTAAATCAGGGTGTGCTGGCTTCTCACATCATCCCACAGCACAAACCTAAGCTAGCAAATGACAATCGTTGGCTTCATTCAGCGGGCCAAAGCCGAATCTATTATGCCTTACCACATTGTGGGAATTCAAATAGGTTTGATTCATTGATAACTGTGAAAGGCTTTAATTCCAAACACAATAGCTGAAGAGTGGGGGGGGGAAATTACCCCTTCATGATTGCTCTCAATGCTTCATTTTAAGCATTTTCCCCATTCTTTTTCTTTTCCTCCTCCGTAGCATAGTGGCATCTTCTCTAGCGCGCAGCATTACCAGAGAGACATAATGACTTCGGTCTGCAAACACACTTGCTTTCTAGTTAATGGCCCAGAAGAGGCTGTACTGTTTAATCTTCAGATACTGTATGAAACAGTCAGTGATGCTCAGCTGTGGAAATCAAACCTTGGCTGACTGCAAAAGAATAATAAAAAAAAAACTCTATTTCATAAAAATGAGTTTAAATGAACTCAGCTTTCCTCTCCCCTCCCTATATGGAAGGAGGGGAAAAAATGCTGATGTTAAAAGCATTGTTTTTTTAAGTCTTCATAACAAAGCATATCATATTATTGTACTGGGGGAAAAAAAATAAGGACAGTGTAATCCCTTTGAAAATTCAGTGTTGTTCTATTAACAATTATTTTTCAAATCTCATTAGCTTAGGTTATTGTTGGTTTTTATTCGTTCACATTAGTATTGTTGCACTAATTTGGAATTTGGAATTAAACATAAGTGACTACATCACAGAGTAGAATGACAAACCACCAAAAATTCTGTACTTTGTTGACATAGGGAGTCATCTCAAAGTATCTTTGACTGAAACAGAACAATGCATAGGAATTCACAGGGTTTGTGAGCAGTGACAAACATTGATTGTGATATTGCAATTGAAATGTTTACACACTTGAATAAAATATGAAATGCAGGAATAAAAGGGTGAGTCTTGCATCATGACATCTACGAAAAGGTGCCTTAAAACATAATCTGTATCACACAGTTTTGGCTGAATTGAACCTCATGTTAAGGCAGTATCCAATCGTTGAATAAACCAAAGTCAGTGTCTGGAGGTAAGAAAAGTAATTATGGTTTATTGTCTCAATTTTGTTTTGTTTTTGTTTTCCTTTGCTCAAAAGAAAGCATCAGAGCACAAAAACAAAACAGGATACTGAATTCAGAATTATCAGACAATAATCAAGCAGTACATTTTTTTAAAAAAAGATGTAAAAACTCTCAGCAAATCATGGTTTCAAACTGTGGTTTGGGTCTCAAAAATTACTGTAGATTGCACAGTAATTTTATAGACTATATAGATGATAGTCAACAATCAACCTAACCCCATTATTACTGATTATGAATATATAAAACGATTCTCATTTCTGGCTGCCAGCAGCTGACCAGTTTTAGGCAGGATATGATTCTGTTTAAAGACAATTTGATCAAATGACTCCTCTGAATGGAATCTTCAAAACAAATAGTTAAATCCACCAATGCATTGAATTGGATGTCTTTGAGATGATTGAACACTGAGTGGACATTTGCAGTGGATCGCCTCTGCAAATATGCTTTTATCAATAGATCAGTTTTTGAATTATCATGGGCCTAGCATGATCCGTCCGTCCGTCCATCCATCCATCCATCCATCCATCCATCATCTATCATCTATCATCTATCATCTATCATCTATCATCTATCATCTATCTATCTGTCTATCCATCCATCCATCCATTCATTCATCCATCCATCCATCTATCATCTACCTATTTATCTACCTACCTACCTACCTACCTACCTACCTACCTACCTACCAGAGGTGGGTTTCAGCAGGTTCTGACCAGTTCTGGTGAACCAGTAGTAAACTCAGGAAATTTTGAGTAGTTTGGAGAACCGGTAGTAAAATTTCTAACTGGCCCCACCACCCCCATCTATTCTCTGCCTCCCAAGTCCCCACCTGATTGGGAGGAAATGGAGATTTTGCAGTAACCTTCCTCTGGAGTGGGTTGGGAATGGAGATTTTACAGTATCCTTCCCCTGCCCCACCCCTCAAGCCACACCCACAGAACCGGTAGTAAAAAAAATTGAAACCCACCACTGCTACATACCGATCTATCTATCTATCTATCTATCTATCTATCTATCTATCTATCTATCTACTATCCATTCTTCCCCAAATCAGTGTTCCTATTTATCAATATTTGCTAAGTGTATGTTCACTTACCATAAACCTTGAGTGTTCTATTTTTAACAGCTGCAGCCAGCTAATGCTAAATCCATTTTCAAAGCCATCTATGCTAGCAGGGATCACAACATTCTGTTGCATTGTAATGAAGTCCATTAGCTAATTATACATTATATGAAGAAGATTTTTATTCACTCTGAAACTACGGCTGCTGAGTTAGTGCTGTTAGTCCTGAATGTAGTATTGAAAGAGAGAAGAAGTAGGTATGGGATAAGAATATATTTTATTGTATTTTTCTCTATGCCAACTGGTGGTATATTATGATCTCATAGAACGGCAGCTCACATACCTCTCCGTAAGGGGAATGTGAAATGTTTGTGGATGACATTATATCAGTGAATAAAAATAAGAATCTCATAAATCGAATTTCAGAAGTATAGTACTGGAGTACAGTTTGGTTGGTTAATGATGAACCATGCTGGACATTTCAAATAAATCAATAGATCAGTTTTAGAATATCATGGGGCTGGCACCAAGAGTTTTAGTGGTGGGTGAAAGCTCTATCTATCTATCTATCTATCTATCTATCTATCTATCTATCTATCATCTATCTATCTATCTATCATCTATCTATCTATCTATCTATCTATCTATCTATCTATCTATCTATCTATCTACCTACCTACCTACCTATCTATCTATCTATCTATCTATCTACCTACCTACCTACCTACCTATCTATCAATCTATCATCTATCAATCATCTATCTATCTATCTATCATCTATCTATCCATCATCTATCCATCATCTATCTATCTATCTATCATCTATCTACCTATCATCTATCTATCTATATCTATCTATCATCTATCTATCTATTTATCTATCTATCTATCTATCTATCTATCTATCTATCTATCTATCTATCATCTAATAAAGATAGTCACAACCAACTTTATCTTTCAAATAAAGTTGGTTGTGACTAGGGAAAACCAATGAAAAGTTAATTATTCTGATTCTGAGTAAAATAAATTAGTACACAACGTCGCTAGTCTTGCATAAAGTCAGATAGTACTGAGATAAAGTTAGAATTTTAAGTTTCTAATCCAGTCTCAGTGAAAAAAAGTTACATTAAATCAGCATGCCAGCTAGATTGTTATATGTTAATTCACAATTTTGTTTTACGCCATTTGTTGAGTAAATCAAAGTTTGCTCAACTAACATAACATCTCAAGGTATAAACCATGTTAGGACCATGTAAAGCAGGGTTCCCCAACCTTTTTGGCTTTGTGGACGGGGAACACAAGGGGCGGGGGGGAGGGGGGGGCAGAGACGATGGTTCCGTGCATGTGGTTGGCAAGCACACGCACCCACTGGTCACACAAATGGAACTCACACAAGTGGGGATGCGTGCACACACTCACCTGTCATTTCTGTGGCCTGGTTGCAAATAGCACACGGCCCAATAGTGGGCTGTGGACCAGAAGCTGGGACCCTGATGTAAAGTATTACACTCAAACCAAGCATGGCTTATTATGATGATTGAATTCAATCACTGCAAAAGATGTTGTTTCAGAATGGATAATGAATTCCAAGGAGAGGAGAAAGAAAAGGATAAGTTGGGTTTATCAACGGGTAGTAAATGAATGTGTCAAAGAACAGCACAATGGAAGAAAGGTGCATTTTTAATTCAACAAATGCATCTGAGAATGGCAGCAAAAAGAAACAGATAAATCCAAACATTCTGTTACCATTGTCCAAGTACATTCAGATAAGGTAAAGGTAAAGGTTCTCCTGGCACATATGTGCTAGTGGTTCCTGACTCTAGGGGGCGGTGCTCATCTCTGTTTCAAAGCTGAAGAGCCAGTGCTGTCCGAAGACGTCTCCGTGGTCATGTGGCTGGCATGACTCAATGCCAAAGGCACATGGAACGCTCTTACCTTCCCACCAAAGGTGATCCCTATTTTCTCCTTGCATTTTTTACATGCTTTCGAACTGCTAGGTTGGCAGAAACTGGGACAAGTAACGGGAGCTCACCCCGTTATGCGGCCGCCGAACCGCCGAACTGCCGACTTTTTGATCGGCAAGCTCAGCATCTTAGCCACTGAGCCACCGCGTCCCACTTTCAGATATCATAACCCAAATAAACACCATCAACATTGACGGTCAATTGCAAAAGGTAGCTTGGCTTTCGGAACAGCTTACATTCTGTGTTCATACTTTTAACATCATCAAACAACACCATCTGCCTAGTCCAGATCCTGGGAAAGTATAAACATTTGACTGAGTGTGAGAAACCACAATAAACCTGTGTCAAGTTCTGGTTTCAGAACAAGTAGGAAGATGGGAAGCAGGGGAAGTATGATCGACTAACTTAACAAATGATCGAAAAAAGGAATCCTGGCCATTCATTCAGCGTCATTGGCTGACTAATCCAAATGCAACTTAGAGACGATATCTTTCTCCTTTAACTGCCAGCGCATTTCTTTCTTCCATTAGCACAGCCGTCCTGCTGAAGTTCAACAGCCTAGCAAGATTCATTTCATTTGGTGCTCTTGCCAGGATGTCAAGTTGTCAGAGAGGCAGGCCAGGCGGTGAGATCCTCTGAAATGCATGCACACTCGCTAATCTGGGCTTTGCGCGTATGTAAAGTTGGGAATGAGGACTAAGGCAGTGGAGACATAAGGAGAACAAATACTTGTTGCAAGCCCAAATCTGCTACATGTCACAAAGAATGTAAATCAAGAACAAGGCACTTGTGGGAAGGCAGGAGAGAGAGAGGGGGGGAAGGAGAGAGAGAGAGAGAGAGAGAGAGAGAAACCACATTGTCCAGGATTTTCACACATTTGCTGAAGTCACATCTCGCTGCAGAACATTGCTGTTCCTCAGAGACCTCTCTCACTTTTGTTTCTCTGTTCACAACAGGGATTCACTTACCCACTATAGAGTTACATATCCAAGAAAGAGCAATTAACAGAAGTATCTAACATCCCTTATTGCTTCTTTCTGGATAATGGCTGGTTTTGAAACCAGAAATTTTAAAAGATCAATGGGAGGGGAAAAAAAAAACAACTGTCGAAAATGGAAACTAATAAGGCCTTTTAGAAAATCTTACCTGAAAGATTCCCCAGATTAGAAGCCTTCCCTGTTGAAGAGGGCATGCACCCGCCTTCAGCAGATAGTCCAGGCTCCTCTCCTTATTCAAAGTATGGGAAGAAAGTGGAGGAGAAATCAGAAAGGAATCTTGGCACTTGAATATAAAATGTTCCTACCTGCGCGGAACAATGCCCTGGGTTTCATTATCACCAAGGTAACTGCCAGGTTATTTTATTTAAAAATAAAATAAAACAGAGTTCAGCTCTCCATCAAGATCTTCCATCATCTTCTTCGTTGTCGTCCCTCATTAATTCTGAAGCTTCCTCAGCTCACTGTGTTGAATGTTTAGAAGAATTAAATGTGACTTCCAGGAGAAAAGGGGAAGTCTGCTCTCCAGATTAACCAAGAGAACTACTGGGGAGTGCTGGAGACAGTTTCTCTTCTCCCAGTGCATTAGCATTTTTTTGTTCTCCATTCTTGTTAGCACCTCCATTTGAGAATCAGTTGCACTTCCAATTTGGCGCCTTCAATATATTTGCCAGATTGCCTCTAGCTATCACCCTCTCCCAAACTCTCCCCCCCAAACACACACACACCTTTAAAAACTCCATTTCCTATTTAATGACACAAAGAGATCAGTCCTGGGATGAAAAGAAAAATAATAATAAAACCAACAAATGGTACTTTATTTAAGCAGACATTTCCTAGCAGGAGACTGTGCTGTGGTTGTCATCTTCATTTTTATTTAGGGAACTGTCTCTTTCTATTACTTCCAGAGAGAAATAAGCTGTGCACACACAGTGTTCTCTTTTTCAAAAGAATTAAAACTCCCAGAAACGGTGAGATATTTTTTTTTTCTCCACTTAAAATAAAATAAACCACAATTTCAGCCTTGAAGGAAGCGGGGCAGGCTGGGTAGGTGACTGACATATATACTTCAAAAGATGTGCTAATTTATTTCATACCACTGTATCCAAAGATGACAAATATCATCTGGCATATCAGTAAAATATAGACAGGTATGTCATATACTGGGTTACACACTTGTGTTTCATCACACAATGCCATAAATAGATAAGTGTACATCAAATGTGTTGAATTTGAAATGTTTGTTCTGGACCTTTGCAACCTTATTAGGAACAGTCCTCCTTACAATCTGAAACAGGTTTCTTGATCTCAGAATTGAGTTAACTCAGATAGATTCAAATCTTATTACAGTCAAGAATGAACCATATATAGCAATGAATGGCAGAGAAAGAGATAACCGAATCACAGAGTTGGAAGGGACCTTGGAGGTCTTCTAGTCCAACCCTCTGCTTAAGCAGGAGACCCTATGCCACTGATGGCTAACCTTTTTGCCGTCACGTGCCAAAAGCGGGGGACCGCGGGGGGTCTCTCTCATGTGTGCCCACACCCATAATGCAATGCGCCCAACCCCCCCCCATGCATGTGCGTGCGACCCCCCGCACTCCCTCCACTTATGATACTCGATGGCACGGTGGGCCAGGTAGGCCTGTTTTTCACCCTCCCAGGCTGCAGAGGCTTTCTAGGAGCCTGGGGAGGGCAAAAATGGCCTCCCCCTCTGGAGGCCCTCTGGAAGCCGGAAACGGACCATTTCCCGACTTCTGGTGTGCCCAGAAGGCCCAAAAATCAGATGGCTGGTGTGCACATGCACACTGGAGCTGAGCTCAGGCAACACTTGCATGGTGGAGAAAGCCTCCAGTGAGGGAGCACTAGGTTGGTTTTCTCCTTGAAAACACAAGTCAGTCACTTGTGTTTCATACTGTAAGCCATGATTAAACCAAGTATCTCTTTATAGAAATAGAATCTTCAATTATCTTTTTTGTGGTCTGCACTTGATTGTTCTCAGGGTTCTCAAATCTCAGAGCTGCTATGTTTTTGCATCTCCCAATTCATTCCCTTCTAAAACTTTCTGGTGATTTGTCTGCTTACCGAAAGCTAATTTCCACGATTTTTTTTTATTTTATTTTTAATTTGATTTATATGCCGCCCTTCTCCGAAGACTCAGGGCGGCTTACAATGCGTTAAGCAATAGCCTTCATCCTTTTGTATATTTATACAAAGTCAGCTTATTGCCCCCACAATCTGGGT